CTACTTTGTCCACCATATCATCTAGCAACATTTCCAACATAGTTTTGACATCATTGAAATCTTGCCCTCACAGTATTCAATTCTAGAATTAAGTTGGTGATGGAATCTATAAATGTGGTAATTGATGACTCAACTAAAGAATATGATGTCTCAGATGATGTTGGAACATTTTTTCCATGGATAACAATGTTCCTGAAGGTATTTCAGATTCAACTGTCAACACTGAAAACAAGGATGTTGCATACTCAAATATCAACGCTAAAACTGAAGATGTCGTAGAATCTAAAGAAACTGAAGTAGCTAACAAAGGTCCCTCAATTAGAATTCAGAAAGATCACCCTAAGGAACTTATCATAGGAAGTCTTAATGAATGAGTAAAAACCATATCAAGGGAAGTTGTGTCAAGCTCTTGCTTTGTTTCAAAATTTAAACCAAAGAATGTCAAAGAAATATTGACTAATGAATTTTGGATCCAGGCTATGCAAGATAAACTTGGTTAATTCAGAAGAAATGAAGTCTGGGACTTAGTGCCAAGACCTGAAGGGGTAAATGTTATTGGTACCAAGTGGGTGAATAAAAAAAAATTAGATGAACAAGTTATTGTCACTAGAAATAAGGTCAAACTTGTTGCTTAAGGGAATACTCAGATTGAAGGAGTGGATTTTGATGAAACATTTGCTCATGTAGCTCGTCTGGAATCCTTCAGACTTTTACTTGGAGTGACATGTCTCCTAAGGTTTAAGTTTTTCCAAATGGATGTCAAGAGTGCCTTCTTAAACGGTTATCTAAATGAAGAAGTCTATGTTGAACATCCAAAAGGATTTGGTGATTCTTTTTTCCCAAATCATGTGTTCAGACTAAAGAAGGCAATGTATGGTTTAAAGAAAGCTCCAAGGACATGGTATGAAAGGTTGACTGAATTTCTTGTTAAAAATGGTTATAGAAAGGGAGGAATTGACAAAACTCTCTTTTTCAAGGAGAAGGATGGAAAACTCGTGATAGCCCAGATCTATGTGGATGATATTATTTTTGGAGGAATGTCAGATGAATTGGTCCAACATTTTGTCAAACAAATGCAATTGGAGTTTGAGATGAGTTTGGTAGGTGAATTAACATTATTCCTTGGGTTGCAAATCAAGCAGATGGAAGACTCCATTTTCATTTGTCAAAGCAAGTATGTGAAGAATATTGTGAAGAAATTTGGATTGGAGAATGCCAGCCATAAGAGAACTCCCGCTCTTATACACTTGAAGTTATCCAAATATGATAAGGGAGTTAATGTTGATCAAAGTTTATATATAAGAGTGATTGGAAGTCTTCTGTATCTTACAACAAGTAGACCAGATATAGCTTTTGTTGTTAGTGTTTATGCTAGATATCAGGCTGATTCCAAAATGAGTCATATCACTCAAGTCAAAAGAATTCTAAAATATGTGAATGGTACAAGTGAGTATGGAATAGTGTACTCTCGTGACACAAGATCTATGCTAATGGGATACTGTGATTTTGATTGGGCTGGTAGTGCAGATGATAGAAAAAGTGCTTCTAGTGGATGTTTTTTTAGGAAACAATTTGATCTCATGGCTTAGCAAGAAACAAAATTGTGTATCTCTGTCTACTTTCGAAGTTGAATACATAGCAGCAGGTAATAGCTATTCTCAAATGGTATGGATGAAATAGATGTTGACTGAATACAATATCATGCAAGATGTCATGACATTATTCTGTGACAACCTGAATGCTATTAGTATTTCCAAAAAACCTATTCAGCATAGTAGAACTAAGCATATTGATATCAGGCATCATTTCATAAGGGATCTTGTTAAAGACAAAGTCATAACGCTTGAGCATGTTAGTACTGAAAATCAGCTTACTGATATCTTTACTAAAGCTCTAGATGTTGCTCAGTTTGAAAAATTGAAAAGAGACTAGGAATCTGTGTCTATGAGGACTTATAGCAATTACTACTATTGGTGTGGGTCAATAAATATTACCACTTGCTCTTTGGTATTTTATTGGATATGGAGAGAAATAAATTCTCTTTGCATTATGGTTCGTTTGATGGAACACATGTTCCAGTCATTATTGTGACATCCTCCCAAGAGAGGAATCTGTTGACAACAGTATTGATGTTGTTGATATTGATGCTGAAGAAGAAAGAGCAGAGCTTGTTGCTGACACATGACTATTGGCTTTATAAACCTTTTTGGCTTTGCTTTGTATACTTGTTTATTTTGCTTTATGATTTTATAAAGATTAAGTGTCAAGGGTCTTCTGAGCTATGGAGCTAATGGATTGTTCGTTAGCTTCTCATCTTTGTCATATTATGGCTAAAAAAGGGAGTATTGTGTGTGAGTTAACTATTATTCATTGAGGGGGAGTGTGTTGTGTAGCTTACATTAGCTATTGTTTTGATATTTATTGTTTTGACTTTTGCTGCTGCTGTGTCTCTGATGGTGTGTGTGTGCGTGTGTGCCTGTGTATATGTGTTTGAGGTGCTTCTAAAACCTGAGCTATTGATGTTTATGTGGAAGATGTTCTAAGTTGTTTTAGCCAAAATAAGCCAAATGGGGAGATTGTTATTTCTTTGTTTGTTGTGATTGACATTATATTTGGTAAAACTAACTTAGTTTAGATATGTTGAATGAAGATGTTATATCAACTTGAGCAACATGTCAAATGCAATGTCCTACGCTGGTTCTTTCGACATCGTGATTTTGTACTGTTGGATTGTTGGATTTTTTAGTTTGTTACAGGTGCAGAATATTCTGTAATATATTATCTATCATATGTGGCGCATGGCTTGGAGATTTAAAAATATTCAATTTAATTTCAAGGAGAATTGTTAGTTTCTAATTATGGAGATAATTAAGGAAACTAATGATGGGTGTCCTATCTTTGAGGAGATAATTTTGCAGCGTCTCTGTTATATTCAGTTGTATATGTGAAGCCCAAATCCAATTCATTGGAGATTATAAATAGAAGGCTTCAATCCTAGTGCAAGTTGTCGAACTTACTTTGTATTGTGTTAGAGTTTGTGTGTTTATTATGAGCCTCTTGGTTATCATGTTGATGAACGAGTAGGACTATTTTTAAGTTGTAAGTCATGTTAGTCATTCCAAAGCTTTTAAGCAGTGAATGATTGTGTCTTTGAAGTGCGACTTATGTATTATTTTTCTAAGTGTTTAGAATTGGTCAATCATTGTACTGTGATTGAAAGAGATTTGAGAAGGGTCTCATACCTAGAGGAGTCTTAGATATGAGTTAAGAAAGGATAGTGATTAAGTGAGAAGTTATAAACTGGAGAGTTTAGCTTCGAATTGATATTATTAGTAGTTAACTTGATTCCTGGTTTGATAGTCTCCAGAGTAGGTGTTGTTTACATCGAACTGAGTTAACAATCATGTGTGTTCTTTACTTTTCTGCACTTTGTTTATCATTAACCTTGTCATTATGTGGTTGTTTGGAGAAAGATGTCTCGATATCTTTTAGGACATCTGAGACCTGAATATCATGATTTCACTATTAACGAAACTAGATTTTTATGACCAACACTGACTAAAGGAGTGATGAGTGATGTAAAGGAGAAAATAATGATTCCAGAAGAAGTGCAAGAGGTCCTAAAAGATTTCAAAGAATTGATCACAAATGAGCTACTAAATGATTTGCCTCCTATGCGAGATAAACACATGGAAGTTAAAAATTTCAATATGGAAAAAGATGTGATGACGTTTCTGTGTAAAGAGAGATTTCCAGTTGGTAATTACATCAAATTGCAGCCAGATGAAACTCTTTATAAAGAAGAGAACTCGGGGCCGAGTTCTTCAGAAGTGAAAGAGACCGATGTAGGAGGATTGACTGCACATATAAAATGAGAATCGCGCGTCAGAAAATATTTTAATATTAAAGTAATTTTTATTTTAATATTTAAGAAATTTATGTTTTATTTGTTTTATTTAATTATGTTTTGGATCAAAGATCCGTTAAGATTATTTTAGTTTATGTATTTAAAGACATTTGGCATAACCATGAGACTTATTTTTCATATAATAAAATTTGAAGTTTATGTTATTCAACCCTATTTTTATTTCAAATTTAGTACTTACTAGTCTCTAAGACTTCTGACTACTTCATATTAATAGATAGATTTCTTGAAAGACCAAAACAGAATAATCTTCATAAGACAAATGGAAAATTCAAACTTTTTTTACATAAAAGATTTTTCTAAAATTGACAATTTGATAGAGGTAAATTAGGTAAACACATACTCTAAGGCTTTGTTTGCGAATTCAAACGGGAGAAGAGAAAAAAGTTTCTGAAAACAATTTTTTTAAAAAAAATATATAAATAAATATTTAACATTTTTTTAAAAAAATAATTTTATATATATTGATAAAAAGAATATTTATCATTACTATATTTTTAATTTTCAAAATAATATAACATAAAAGATATTTGAAAATTTTATATAAATCCTCCAAAACCCTCCTTCAATACAAATTTTGAATTTATCCAAATTAAAAGATTTTTAATGTTATGAATAAAAACAAACCCTCCAAAACCCTCTCGATCAAAATCCTTCAATTTTTCCACTCAATCCTTCCCTTTTTTTCAAAGTCCTTCCCTCCCTTCCTTCCCAAACACACCCTAAGTAAATCTAGATTGATTAAGGCATGGACAACACATAGCCAGAATTTTGTTCGAATCCTATTCAAGTTGCTGAAAATGGATTCAAGTTGCTGAAAATCAGAGCATAACCAAGCATTGATCTTGAGAAACATTTGAACACGCCAATAATTATTATATTACAACTTTCGCATACTAAAACTGAGAATAAAAATCAAGAGATTCTGTACAGAGAATAAGTTTATATAAAATTCAGATTTCAAACGTTACACAACGACTTCCTCTTCGCAGCTTATATTTACACGTGTTACACATTTTTTTCACAAATTTGAATAAAATAATATCGAAAAAATAATTTAACTTGTCTGAAATGCCTACGTAAATATCTGCTGAATTACTGTCTCGGCATTTCCGTTGTATTGGGCAAGCAGATGGATAGCATCAGCCCTAGGCAAAGCCAAAAACTCCTGCATAACATGAAAAGAAACTCTAAGCAAATATTATTTGATTGAACCAAAGACTGCTACTAGTAAAAAGAAATGCAGCAGATATACATACACCACCAATATATGTGCAACCGTAAGCGCATTGTGATATCCTACTTCAGAATTCAATTTTTGCAAGGGAAAAGGGAAACAGAGATAACAGCAAGAATACATAACCTACCATTACTTTGAGTATTGCATTTTCATCACAGATGACATCCCTGGAAGACTCTTGGGTTGGACTGCTACCATCCTCTGACATTTTAGTGCCTGAAGACACTGTGACCTGAGAAGATCCATTTGTGCAGCTATCAGCATATGACTTGGACGTATATACTGGAGCCAGGAAGGTAGTATTAGCTTCCTTCAAGGAATCGATCTTCAAAAGACCTTCAAAACGATCTTTGCACATTTGAAGTTTAAACCATTCATTATGACTATAAAGTGTGGCTCGCATTATTTTCATTAGTTGAGGTTCTTCAATACCAAGCCTCCGTCCAACTGCAACCTATTTAAAATGAAAAGGATTTTATATTTTGAAATATTAGTAGCTAGAAAACAATAGAACAAGTCCTTCACGGTAAAGCTTTCAGGTCCAGAACACAGCGAAGGCATGCCAACAGGAAACAAATTATCACACTAAATTATGGTAAGGGCAAACAATAAATATTGTTTGCGCCAGATAATCTACAGTTACTTGGAAGCCAATAATGTTTAAGTTTGCGAGGCTATCAACACTAAATTGATTTATCAATTGGTTTGTCAATTGGCTTACCATTTGCGAATGCTATATATGAGCTTCCAAGTACGGGAGGCAAAACGGGCCGGTCCGGCAGGCATGCCTGTTTTGCCCGCACTTTTCACGGGTAGGGCGAAATTTTTAGGACTGCACCCTCTAATATGTACGTCCAACCCCATTTTGTTACGGGCTTTTGTGGGCTCGGACATTAACGTAAATTTTTGCAACTTTAGGCTTAAAAAGTGCAATGCCTGCTGGCCTGTTCGTCCTCATTTTTGGCGGAGCGGGCCAAAGTTTTAGACCTGCACCCTCAATTATGCTCGCCCTGCCCCTTTTTTTGTAGGGCAGACATGCCTGTTTGCCATCTTTACTTTCAATGCATATCGATCAATAACAATGATAAACTATATGTAATCCCTTGTCAGGTTACCTTATGTTTATGTTAGTACTCCTACATGTATATATAGTTAGAATGAAGGACTGGACTTGCCAAAAATTCTCATGAATTTTATTTAGGAAAACACCCTGGAAGAGAAATCCCATCAACGTGAAAATATTAACAGATGTATCACAGTACAGTGGTAATAACTTTCCTTGTTAAATTATCAAACACAATACCTGGAGAGAAGCAGCTAGAGCGTGTAGAGGTAATGCATTTCCAAGAGCATCTTCATTAGGTCGTAGTAAAGCCAAGAGAGTTTCCTTCAACGGCTTTAATAAAGTGGGATCACTAGCAGCTAAAGGACCCAGATGAGAGCAAGCAACCTTCAAAGCAGCATTATAATCACCAGAACCGACCAGCTTGAGGAATTCAACCTACAGCCAGGAATCCCACATATAGATGTAACATTAATGATGACATTATGAAGGGCATAGCAACAACCCCAGACGCTCTCCTAAAAAATAAATAAAGAAAATGGTATCAACAACATCATAGAAGTCACTCACCTGCTTGAGTTGGAAGAGCAAAACAGAATTCTGACCAAAGAAATTTGGATCAATAGTACTGATTTCTTGAACCGCTTCAGCAGCCATTCCTTTGCTAGCTAATTCCTTCATACCCAACAGAATCTCATATTTATTTTCCACATTACTACCATCTTGTACAGAAACCTTTTCAGAGCCCTACAAAACAATATTATGTCAATAATTTATCTCTTGGACAAACTAGTATCAATATTATCAAACATATACCTGTTTTTCCTTGGATAAAGTTGAAACAGTGGTGCTTATGCTACGTTCTTGCTTGTTGTGCTCTTCCAAAGAAGCATTGGCCAAGTAACTATTGTCATCATATCGTCCTCTCCATCGCTTGCGCTTTGCCCGTTCTCCATTTCCAGACAATCTGCTTCGGTACAAAACATTTGGATCTTCAAGGTGCTGCGACCCACTGGTGCTACAGTCTTCATGAATACTTGCAAGCTCAGAAGTACATCGTACTTCAAAATCTATTCCTTGCATGCTTGTCACATCAGCATTATTTTCAGGAGAGTCGTCCATTTGAGCATTGGTAACTGAAGTTTCACCATCAGAATGTTTACTGGCATTATAATCTAGCTCAAGAGAACAATCCCTTGATGAGCAAAAGCCAGGGTCTTGTTGGTTGGATTTTACAGGTTCTGGCATATGTTGCTTCCCAAATGCTAAGTTCACATAAAGTGCAAAGACATTATCATAATAAGATACAGAAAAATATTTCAATTGAAATACCATGCAAGATGTAAAGAAAAACACAGAATAACTACCTTAAACCATTAATTCAAAATTTGAGTAAGACTTGATATCCAACGTAAGATTAATGATTAGAAAAATCCACAAAAAATAGGAAGTATTGAAAGCTAGTAGCATGGAATTATTTCTACACACAAGAGCTGGGTTCAACAGAAGAAATTCCATACCGGAGTTGACAATTCCTCTGTACACACAATACTCACGTACAAGTTGATCAAGGAATGGTACATCCAATCTCATCCGACACAACTCATTCTGCAACAAAAAGAATACAATAATGAAGAATATCAACCTAAAAATTAACGAAATCGCCAATCAGCCAAAAATCAATGATGAAAGAGATTAAAATTCATTCGGGCATATCTTGCACTAACAAAAAACTGTTTCTCATTTTCTCCCCTTTATGCTTGAATCCCTTATCCCCCATGGCTGACATGTTGAGAAAAATGTTTCTTTAGTTTGAAAGTGGAAAAACAAATAAAGGGAATACAATTCTTAGCTTTGAATGCTGATCCTTAGATCCAGTTAATATATGAAAGAAAAAAAGTTTTACTAATCCGAATTTTCTAGAATCGGCGACGATAGAAAGTTATCAATGCTAAAAAGGGTTTTTTTTTTTAATAATAACATTCAGAATTATGTTAAACCTCAGGACACGAGGACTTGGCTATAAATAGAATCAAAAGTGAAACCTAGCAAGTGACATTTTAAATTTCAGTTTTCTGTCAAAAGAAGAAAAAAAACCTGTGTACACTTGGCCAAATTATATATTAAACAAAAACTACAAAAAATTAGGAGTATAAGAAACAGTAACAGGCTGAGATTCAAATTGGAGCCAACAACATATGGACTATTAAGATTATATATAACCTGAAATGCCAGGAATAAATCACCCTTCGCAAATCTCAAGCTATCTATTGCCCCTTGTCTGGTAAGCTCTACAGCATGTGCAAGAGCCTGTATGTCCACCTGTATCAGAGTCAAACATATAGCTTCAGCTTAAGAATGATGCTTGCATACACACGTGAAAAATAGGTGCCAGATGTAGCGTTTTCACAAAATGATGAGCACCTAATTACATGTGACTTCTGATAGACACCCTCCCATAACTACCGTGCACAACAGAGGAAAAGAAAAAAGCACCAAAGAACCAGGAACCCGTGTGTATATATGTGTGCATCTCTAAAAGGTGTGCGATTACACTGATCAGAACATTGCAGACTTGCATTGTAACAACCTGATCATGTGGCAGATTGGGTAGATGAAAAAATCAAGTAATTGGATGAAAACTAGTCTTTATTAGAAGATTTAGGGGAAAACTCCCTTGCTTACAAATAGAATGCAGAAGGATCTGTAACATTCCTGTCCCAAGGCTCCAAATTCTCTCGCAAATGACTAGGGGGGAATTGGGTAAACACGTATTCCATAAGCCAGGCAGTTCTGTATATTTGCTTATGTATAAATTGTTTCAACAACAATAGGATAGCAAATAAGCATAAACTCTCCATAAAGTGAAAACAACTTCGACAATACTTTTCCAAACACTTGTGCAAGTGCTTATGTCACAAGGTATGGCTAAAATAAACTCTTCCAAATGGCCCCAAAAAATCTCCACATTTCCCCAGATATATAGCCAACATACAACAACAATAACAACAACCAAGCCTTATCTAATATATCAAATTTCTTTCTTTCACCTATCTCAGTCCAACTAACATTAACTAATTGCCTAAATCTCTCAACTAACAAACCTTATCTAATATATCAAATTTCTTTCTTTCACCTATCTCAGTCCAACTAACATTAACTAATTGCCTAAATCTCTCAACTAACAAACCTATCAATACTCTACTTGAAAATTCATCGCTCCTCAAGGTGAACTACTTGTTGAAAACAAAACCCAGTCTGGGTCCCAATCAATTGGAACTTAATGATGAAATACTCAATTCACCAAAAAAGCAACTTTGCACTATTGGCAAAAATGAAGGCGAAGGTCTAGATGGCTAGCTTGACTTGTGCCTCCCTATTTTGTCAGTGATAACCGGAGTGTGGAAAAGGAATAATGGGTGTCGGCGAACATGTGTTATAGTCCTACCTTCTAGACCTCCCTTATTATTTGCCGGGGAATTAGGGCACCACTATTCTTTAAGGCCCGTCGTCTTAGGACATCAAGTTCCCGAAATTTTGTTAAAAGTCCAGAAAATTTATTGCACTAGTCTCTATCCTAACACTAAATTCATCTACTACCACTGCCCCACCAATTCAATTCAGGCATCAATTCCATTGTTCAGCAAGTGATGAACGCGAGGGCTCTAATACCAATTGAAAAGAATTGGTATTTTATTAGAAGCTTTAGGAAAATTCACCTAATTACTGAATCGAATGCAGATATATGTGGGTTTGTAACCTCCCAACCTACCCAACGGCCCCACTACTCTCAAAAATGACTATGGATATGTCTCACTCTCCACTTTGCCACTCATATATAGGCAGCATGCATTATTTGTTTCTTCTAACTGTCAGCCCAACTAATCTAATAACTCTCTCACCTAACAAACCTATCACGGGAATGGAGAAGAGAGGGTCAAAGGGATAGGTCATGGCAGATCAAAAATCGTGGGCCTGCCTTTTACTTTTTTAACCAAATTCTGTTCATTATCCCTGAAAAATCCATTTACTGGTGCTGTTCAAATGGTGATACATACAACACAGATATCGTTCATATTGTCCCTGAAAATCAATGTTATCATGTTCAAATGTTGTGAAACTTGGGGACTTATACAGCATAGATATCTCACCTCATCAAATGGTGGCACTTCATATAATATGTCCTGTGGCGTTGCAGGTGGGTCACGTTCCTCCAGGAGCAATCTTTCAGTCAGATCAGAGATGGGTGATGTAATACCTTGACGTAAACAATATATCCTGTGTATGCTATAGAAAAGGCCAGAAATTCAAAAAAAAAGCGTAATGACAAAATTGGAAATGCAAGATAATTATTTAGCAATAGAAAAGCCATCGTTTTCTCAGTTCATACAAACTGAATGACATGAAGCTGATGCATAACCTTATCAAATATCTCAGAGCCATTGAAAAAATTGGATCATAAGCATTTAAATGAGCTCTTAACACAGAAGACAGAAATCCAGCTAAGTCAAGCCTCCTTCTTTCAGACCACTGCAAGATAAATGACAACAATGAGCTTAAAAATTCATTCTAGACATCGGAAAGTATAAGATCAAACATAACTCCAACCCTTTTAAAGGAAGGTATACACAATTTTCAGATCATTATGAATAAAAAATTTAAATCAACTGATCTGAAAACATCAAAGATGAAAAGTAGACAGTAAATAGCATCTTCTTTCTTTTGTATTTTTTTATACCAAGAGAAGTGTTAAGAGTCTCACATTGGATGAGAGATGACTTGAACACATGTTTATAAGTGGGAACAAACAATCCTCACCTTACAAGCCGGTTCTGCAAGGTTGGGTTAATCTCAACCCAAATTGTTAAGATGATATCAAAATCTATCAAAGATCCGTTGAGACACCTACTATAAAGTTTCTTCTATCAAACTACTCGGATCATACTCTAGATGTCCAGTCTTGGAGGTGAGAAGTGTGTGTTAAGAGTCTCGCATAGGATGAGAGATGATCTAAACATATATTTATGTGTGGGAGCAATCCTCGACTTACAAGCCGTTATTGTAAGATAAAACCTTGTGATGGTATCAAAGTCTATCCAAGATCCGTCGAGACAGCCACTCAGATCACGCTTCAGATGTCTAGTCCTGGGAGTGTGAAAGGGGTGTATTTAGAGTCACACATTGGAAGAGACATGACTTGAACATATATTTATAAGTAATGACAATCCTCGCCAAGGTAGTCAAAATCTAGATTTTACGCATAGTCGGAAAGGGTATGTAAAATCGTAAATCATACAATCGTAATATTAGTCGTAAGATTATACAAAATTCATAAATCTTAGATATTTTTTTGGAACAGAAATCTTTGATATATATACAGAAAAAGCAAGACATAAAAAACCATAAGTCACACTTAAAATACTTGAGTAAATTTAAATTTATAAGCATATTGGGAGTTTGAAGCCATTTGGAAAAATCAAGAAAAGGAGGGAGACGGTTGCAGGGGAGGTTTAGTGAAAGAAGCATCAAAAATGGAAGCGGAGGTGTAGCAAGGAAGTCGCAAAAATAGAAGCAAGAAGAGATGATGCAGAGAAGCTACAAAATCAAATGAAAACAGATGCAAGGGAGGGAAAGTAAACAGTTTCACTAACTTGGAAGTTGTGTATCACACTTACTGCTCAGATAATAACTTAAAATGCAAGTGGCTGTTTAAAAATTCATTTTTTCCCGTTAAAAAAATTCCTAATTTCTAAATGGGCCTTTTGCTGATCCACGAAATATAACAGGTCATCTTCTAACCCGAGTTTCCGAACTTCTCTTTTCTTCTAAACCGAGCTTTTGAAATGGATTTTCCCTGACACGCGATTGCAAATGCTTCCATTTCTAAATCCTAGAGTGTGCCGTCATGAGCTTCCCCACTGCAACCAGAATCGGTTCGAAGATCATAGATTTCACGATTCCACGACTAACTAGGTCGGTTTTACACGATTATACAGAAAAGCAATTCTGGATGTACTCATAATTACGGAAGGCAAATTTATCGTAAAATTTTACGATTTTTTACGACTCAAATCGCAATTTTGACTACCATTATCCTTACCTCACAAGTCGGTTTTTTAAGGTTAAGATATGTCCAACCCAAATCTTAAGATGATAGCAGAGTCTTATTCAAGAATCGCCCCATAAGTGGAGAAGTTGGAGATCCATGCTATTTGTTCAATTATGAATGCAACAAATATAACTTTATAAAATGTACAGAAAATATGTATAGAAAGTAGGTATTTTCTCTCGACATTCAAGAGAGTCGGGACTCTTCTTAGTCTTAATTCTAATTCACAACAAAATCACCCCACTCTCGACCCCCTTTCTTATTGATATGCATCATGCCTTATTTATATCTTCTGCCCACTCCAATCTAACCAACTAAAGTTTCTTAACCAACAAACTTATCAGATTATAACTATCTATATTACCTTAATTATTTATGTCAACTCTAAATCTGAACAACAAAATCAACATAATCAAATTGTTCTTATTTTCGTATATTTCAAATGCATATGTAACATTATCTTTGATGTTGATAGGAGTACATGTGATATACTCATGTTCTGTGTCAGAAAACTGCAACTGCTGTTGTTCTAGTTGTAGATAATGGTTAAGTTCTAATCAGAGTTGGGGGTGATTGCATTGTGCACAATCATAATAATACTTTTGATTTCCTACAGATATACTCCACTGAGTCACTACTGTTTAATGCACGTTGGACAATAAATGTGAATATCTATTCGTTCGCCGTGTTGTGGGAGACTAGTCTATTTGCTAGCTCAGCATCCATTGGTGCACATTATGGAATTCAAGCACATGTATGTAGCATGCTATACACAAGTAATATTTTTAATACTCTAATGAAGAATAAAAACAAAATAGTGATGTATAACTGATAATGCCTCCATTTTTTAAGTGACATTTAGGATAATAACACATTAAGAAGTTATGCCTATATTCTAACAATTAATCTGCTTGTCTCGTATTAACTGTATTTAAAGGAAATGCACGCATATTAAGAAAATGATTACCTATTCTAACTTCCAACGCAAAATAATGTGCAAGAGCTATAATATCTTCATGCTCCAAGCCCGGGTTCGAATCCAAGGCCTTGGTTAAACTAGAAGAGGGAATATAAGATCATGCTTTCATTTACGATCAAGCATCTTATATTTGCAACTGTTTTAAAAAATAAGGATAATATTGAGAAAAGTTATAAATGATTTGTTGAAAGTCAAAACTGACATAATGTGAGCCCAAAAGATATTCCAAACGTGAAAATTTAATAAGATAGGGAGTATTAACTAAATCTGTGAAGGTGAAGGTGACAAATGTCAGCTTGAGTGTAATCAAAATCTGCTACCGTAGGTCAACTAGTTACTATGTAAAGTAAAAGTTGTAGTTTGTTCTAACAGAATTTGATTCAATAATCAAAAGTTAGTTACACTCTAAATGGAAACCCTAACTAACCTTTCTCTCTAATCTAACATCAACAAACTAGTAATTAATGTTATCTTGAACTATCAAAATGAAAACGATAATTTCTTAATAAATGACACTTAGAGAGACAGCACCAATCATCAATAAAATAACACAAATAAAAGCAGTAAACACGCAACACTTAGCTTATACTAAGTAAGCAAAATATAGTGATATACTAAGGGCGTGCTTGGATTGGCGGTGTGGTTGAAAGAAGTTGTGAGCCAGGACATTTTTAGCAGAAGCTACATCTCAGTTTTGCCAAACTCACTGCTCATACAAACATCAAGTACATATTTTACATAAAGGAACAATTCATTCAACAGCAAACTCTCAATATTAATACACTAGAAGCTACAAAATCAGTAAGCAGAGGTCTCAGACAGGTCAAACAGATTGTAAAAGTAGAGTTGAAATGAAACCTACCTCATTTGCCACAGGAGAAGTCTTATCCTCTTTATCATATATAAATGCGAGCAAAACATGCTTGAACTCCTCATATGCTTCCTTAAATACAAAGATAACCGTCAGAATCAGAACCAAGCTTTAAACAAGAAAATAAAAAACGAGAGCAGTTCCAATTTCTAGATTCACATACCGGATAAGCATCGAGTGCACAAGGAGCAAGAGCTGTCCTCAAACAATCAATAGCAGAGTCTCGATCCTCACTCGTCCCTTTCCGAAGAAGCTCAACAAATTTCTACAAAACAACAAATCAGAACAACAGCGATATTAAAAACCAAAAACAAAAAATCAATAGAGATAGATAGATACGAACCTGTTTGTGCAAACGGAAGAGAATCCTGTGATCGTTAAGGATGGAGGGAGCGTGGAGACGGAGGAGATCGACAGCGGCGTCGATTGCGCCGGTTTCCAAGAACCGTCTGATCTGGCGGATGATGAGTCTGGAGTGGTAAGAGGAAGAAGAAGGGGAAGGGGAGGGAGAAGAAGAATCTTCGATCAGGTTTTCCAATTTGGCGAATTCGATTACCACAGTATCAAGAGCTTCCCAATTCACCGGTGTAGACTCCATCATCGAAGTTTCTCGAAACAGAAATTGTGAGATTGAGAGAGAGAAAAGAGAGATAGGAAGAAGGGGTAAGTGTATTGTTTGGTTCGGAAGTAAATTTTTGGTATTATTGGATTGAGTTTTAGGTCCGGAAAAGAAAATTGGCAAGCGGCTATGTGCGGTAAATATGGATTCTTTTTTGGTCGGTGGCTTAGGTAAGGAGACCAAAGATGTTAGTAGGTATACTATAATGTATGATAATTAGAATTTGTTCACAATGGCAAGAAAGTTTGTACGATGATGTTTTATGGTGGGTTTAGGAGTCTTGTTCACCTAAGATGAAAAACTCTATAGATGGTGATATGCTTAGCTATAAGTCGATCAGGGGAGTGATCAATGTGTTATGATCACGTGTTATTTTTATAAGGTGTAATGATTTGAATGACTTAATCTTTGTATGGTTAAAGATCTGTATGACTTAAGATTGGTCATTCCTTCTACAAGGAAAGGGTCGTCGCCTACCCAATCAATAGTGTATCGTTGAATCTCTATTTCTCAGGAAGTCGTGGGTCAGTTATTGACTCCGATTTCTCTCTGCCTCAAGAACGTCTTTTCTCCATATTTCCCACGACTAAACTATTGAAATGCCTTGGGGCGATGTGATATCTTCTCTCGAGAGACATGTTATCATCACCTCTCCCGGAATGTCCTCTAGTTATCGCCATAGGAGAGCCCCATGCAAATATAACACGACAAATCAACTATGAAATAAAATTTTAAATTTAATTTGGATATTATATGATTTACAATTCAAAAAACTGCAAATATCTATATCAAGATTAAAGGAATCAAAGAAAAGATGATTAGTGGTTTCAGAATCTTGTTGGAGAGATATAATCTCGTAAAGATTAATAAGCAAATAAAATATATTTATTATTTTTTGTTATAGTTTACTCTTGCTAAGGTGTTGTATTTTTTCATTATTGAGTAATTTTTTTCGAAAACTTAATATTTAGTTTTTTTTTTTTTGCACAATTAAGTTAAAGTCGAAAATTTTATTTAGTAAGATTATTTCATAAAGTCTGTGCAATAAAGAAAAGATCGAAGCAAGAGAAAATAAAATAATATTCTGTAAAATCAAGAGAAATTATGAAAATATTATATAAACTGATAAATATTACGCAGTGAACAAATTCAATAAATATTAATAATATTTTTAAAGTATTTGATAGTTTATCGTCACTAGTTTATATATTTATTTAAAAGGGTAATTTGGTGAATAATTATTATGATCAATTTTTTATTATTTATTTAAATAATATATTTTTTATATTATTTTATAGTAATAATTAAATTTATCATTTAAATTCAAATACTATTAGAGTCGTTTAGTTATGACTTGTGATAATATATAATTGTTGAAATATTTGAGAAATATAAATTTTGATCTCATAAGTTTGTGATAATATATAATTGTTGAAATATTTGAGAAATATAAATTTTGATCTCATAAGTTTAAGAGTGTTTGAAGAGAGAATCTTTAAAGTTCTTTGAGGATATTGAGTTTAATAGAGAGATATTGTTTAAGAACAAAATTGAATGAGAAAGAATTTATTCTAAATCAATTCATATAGTTACTATTAATATAGTAAACTTTGATCCTCATGAGAATATTATGATTCTTTCTCTCAAACAAGTGAATAAATTGATATATGAAGATCAAACTCATCACTCTCAAGAAATAAGGTACCACTTGTCAGAAAAGATTGACTATAAAGATAAATCAATTTGATTTTCTTAAAATACTATGTGTGGTTAGTCATGAAGCTCTTTGATCATTATAAAATTTGTACATATATTAAATAAATATTAAGATTGTATATCTTAATAGACACAAAGTAGTTGGTTTTCAAATTAACAAAATTCATTTATGAGTTAATAAACTTATCTCTCTTATTATTACCATATAGTCTCGTAACTTAATTGTCTCATTTTATTTTGAGATAAGTATTATGATGTTAATTATCTATTTTGGTTTTGAGATGAATATTATGATGTTAATTGTCTTATTTGGTTTTAAGATGAATATTATAAAGTTAGTTATCTCCTTAGGTTTTTTTTAGAAACCAAACAAATTTTATTGATTGTGAACCATGTCCTTTTTAACGTGATCTAATACACATCGAGGGGTCTTTTCCACCCAAATTTTTATTGGCATTCTTATCTAAGTAGTGGGCCACTAAGTTATTGGTCCTATTGGTATAACAAAACCTTATTCTTTTGAACCGGTTAAATCTGTTTATGATGTACTTGCAAATCCTAGTGTTGGCTCTTGAATTCGACACCTACTATATATTGGCCCCATAGACCAAAAATAGAGCAGATAAAGCCAAGTTGGAAAATGCTTCGACGGATGGAAAAAACTTAGAGAAAATATCTGAGTTACAAATTGGTCTTCGACCAGAAATCACCATCAAGCCTTCGACGGGAAAGGTCATGTGACCTTCGACTAGAAGAACAAACCTTCGTGTCAGCACCAAAGACGAAGGATATTTGAATTTGAAGATTGGAGGGAAATGCAGTTCGTCACCAGTTAAGGAAAAGCGACGTGGCAGGAAGATAGAGGTCGAGGGACATGCAGAAGACACTTGTCTTCATCCTAGAGCAAAGCCACCCCTCGACAGTTACATAATTTTAGTATAAAAATAGGAAGTTTGTGTAGATTTTCCGGGTGTTCAACCTATTGTGCTAGTTACTCAATATTATTCAAGTATCCGCTGTGTGTGAAAGAATAACTGAGAATGTACGTTAGAAACACCATTTTTTATTAATAAAGTCTTTTTACATTGCTTTGATCTTCTTTTGAAAAGTTTACATTTCCTACATCTTTACTTGCACTTCTAGTTACTTTCTTACTTTCCAAAACCACAAACACTATATCCCTGGTCGAACGTGCGTTCTTCCTAGATATTAACTTTCACATCAAACCAGCATAAAAGTTAGCATATGTTCTGGGATCAATCTGATCGATCCCGCGAGTAACCAAAAGGACTTTCCTTTTTGGAGGATCAGCGGTTGTTTACCAAAAACAACGGTAAACAAATTGGCACACCTGGTGGGACGTTGCTAGTTTTTATCATCTGTTTGTTCATGTTATTGCTTTCCTTTTATACGTATACAATGTTGCATGTTATTAAGAAGTGGTAGATTAACCAACGAGTATACTGTTAGGAAGAGAAATAGCGAAAGTAGAATGGCTAATGAGCCAAATCACGGAGAAATACCTCCACCAAATACTACTGGAACAACGGTTATAACTACCGTTGGAGAAAATATCTCAACTTCTGTTGGTTCGGTACCAACGTTAACCACGAATCAAACAAGACCCTTGCTTTCGTATGTAGGTCCTAGAGGTCCATTAGGAACACCCCCACCAAGGGCAAATCCAAGATCTCGACCGTACGTTCCCCCAGGATTTTCGACAGCCTGGACGGGTCGAGAACAGCCATATGGCATGCCAACCACTGAAATGGTTAGCCTTATGAACGTTGCGTCTACTTTTTCAAAACCTTTGGTGAGTGCGTCATCACCATTACAGGGATCTGGAGCCAGTATGGCAAATTTGGGTAGAAACCAAATTTTAGGAGGACCATCACATGCAACATCAAGCCTCACAAATGCTTCTACAGCAATTTTGATGCAACAGATGGACGAAAGCAACCATGATATGGTGCAAATGCTGGCACAAACCCTAAGTACAGTGTTGAACTCCCTAATACAAAATACTACCCAGTCGAATCAACAAATGGCAGCACAAATGACGCGCATGACTGAATTCTTTGGGGTACCCCAAACTATTCGACAACCCCAAAGAATACCAATAAGAGTAAACCAATGGGTAATCTTGGAAGAAGATTTAACCGTTAATCAAAATCCACAGATCCCTATAGTAGAAATAGAACAACCTAGGGTCGAAATACCTCGAAATCCCCCATCAATCCCTAAAGAAGTCGATCCAAGGAGTGATTATGGTGAATAGGAACCAAAATGCTGATGAATTGATACAGCAAGTTCGACACCAAAATTATGGAACAGATAATAATCTGATTGCCATGATTGAAAGGATTATGATACAGAATAGGATGAACATTGGTTTCACAGACCAAACTTCACATCCCCATTGTCAGAATATATCCTGCAAACAGACTTACCCCCTAGGGGAAAAGTCCCCAAGTTTACCATGTTTTCAGGGGATACGACAGAATCTACTGTCGAACATGTGGCGAGATATTTGATAGAAGCCGGGGAAATAGCAAACAACGAAAACCTTAGGATTAATTACTTTCCAAGTTCTCTAATAAAAAACGTTTTTACTTGGTTCACTACCCTCCCAGCTAATTCGATCCATAATTGGAATCAATTGGAATCAATTGGAAAGGTTGTTCCATGAACAATTTTACATGGGACAGGCCAAAATAAGTCTAAAAGAACTGGCTAGTGTGAAGAGGAGATTCACTGAGCCAATAGATGAGTATCTAAATAGGTTTTGACTGCTTAAAGCCAGGTGCTTTACCCAAGTGCCTGAACATGAATTGGTCGAAATGGCAGCAGGGGGCCTGGATTATTTCATTAGGAAAAAATTAGATACCCAATAATTGAGAGATATGGCCCAGCTGGCCGATAGAGTTCGACAAGTAGAACGCCTTAAAGCCGAAAAGGCTAAAGCGACCAAAACTCATCGAAGAGAAAGAGTAGCCTATGTCGAAATGGATGATGACGATTCAGAGACATCTAGTGATCCTATAGATGTCGAAAAAGGCGAGATAGATTTAGAGGAATTAAAACAAGGGCCTCCATACTCTTGTAAATTGCTAGTGCCCTCAAATGGGAAGAATCCTGTGGAGTCTGAAAGGAACAGTGACAAATTCCCAAAGAACACATATAGTTTTGACATCACTAAATGCGATGAAATATTTGATTTATTAGTCAAAGATGGCCAAATGATAGTGCCCCCAGGGGCAAAA